TGATGCTTCTTTTGCCTCCCTTGGGGTCTCTGCCCTGAGCCCCTGTAGAATCTACTTTCTCTCCTGACTCATTTATTCTCATCCTGTTTGGCTTTTCTGAAGCCCATACATTATTCCAATTCTTTACCCAGCCTGACTGGGTAGTCTCAGATCTGGCAAAACATGTACTATGGTTTTAAACGGTGGTTTCCATCTTGGCTTAGTTCCATGCTGACACCTATTTTGTCCTTCCACCTCAAAACTACTGCTTCTTCTGAAACATCCCAGTTCACAGCACTCTGAAACTCCCACAGGCCCCACCTCCACATGGGGCATGCGGTATTTCCCATCAAGCTGATACTCCGAGGTGTTTGATGATAGGCCCCACCCACTTCTGTAGGATGGCATGATTCTTCACTTAGATTGCTCAGGTAGGATGGTTAGTAAAAGGCTAACTGTTAAAATCTAAGAATATCTTAATCATACAGGAGTTAGAATAACACATATAATAGGAAGTATCATTATATATGTCATTAACACATCCTCCTAACTTTGGAATATCCAAGTATGACACTGTTCAAAAGGGGGACTATCTACCATCGTGTGGCAGGAATCCTTTTAAAATCATAGTGACTGTGCAGCACTTCGATTTGCCTTCTTGGCACATACATAAAAACTTTGTTCTTGTGTCAATTTTACCCAGCACATACGTTAATACCTAACATGGTCAGACACAGGGCTCAGGGCTGGAGATACTGAAGCATGTGAGGCAAGTCTTTGTCCTCAAGGAGCTCAGAGTCTAGGAGAAGAAAGAGAACTGTCAACTAATAATTGGAATCCACGATGGTAGGCCTTATACTAAAGGTATGTACAAAGTGTTAAAGGATGAAATGCCAACTTATTATTTATAGGGGCCCTGGAAAGCTTGACATCAATCAACTGGGGGGACACCTGGGTGGCTCAGTCGTTAAGCGTCTGCCTTCCTCTCAGGTCATGATCCCAGGGTCCTGGGATCGAGTCCCACATCGGGCTCCCCGCTCCGTGGGAAGCCTGCTTTTCCCTCTCCCTCTCCCCCTCCCCCTGCTCATGTTCCCTCTCTCGCTATCTCTCTGTCAAATAAATAAATAAAATCTTTAAAAAAAAAAAAAAAAAGTAAAACTAGGATGTGGGAAAGGCATTCTTTTTTTTTTAAATTTTTTAAAATTTTTATTTATTTATTTTTTTAAAGATTTTATTTATTTGAGAAAGAGAGAATGAGAGAGACAGAGAGCACATGAGAGGGGGAAGGGTCAGAGGGAGAAGCAGGATCCCCGCCTAGCAGGGAGCCCGATGCGGGACTTGATCCCAGGACTCCAGGATCATGACCTGAGCCGAAGGCAGTCGCTTAACCAACTGAGCCACCCAGGCGCCCCTGGGAAAGGCATTCTAAGCAGAAGGAACACCGTAGGCAAAGCAAACACAAAATGTTTTTTTTAAGCAGGCCCCACACCCAGTGTGGAGCCCAACACAGGGCTTAAACTCATGACCCTGAGATCAAGACCCGAGCTGAGATCAGGAGTCAGACACTTAAGCAACTGAGCCACTCAGGCACCCCAAGTAGTTTTTATTAACCAGCTAGAACCAGGCCCGGGGCGGCTGACAATAAAACCCCATTGCCATAAAAGAAATAAAAATTCTGCCTTCAAAGTTTTGTGGTGTAGCAAGGGAAGTAAGACGTGTTTATGAAACGCTGCATAACAAAGACATGTGCAGGATCATGCAGGCAGGCAGGCAGGCTGGTCAGGAGAACACAGTGGGAGTTCTGGGGAGCAGCTGGGGAGTGGGAGCGAGGGAAGGCACAGGGAGTAGCTCAGCAAAGCTCTTTAGGAGGAAACGCCGTCTACTGGATCTTGAGGGCAGAATTTAGCTCTGCAGATATAAACAAAGGGAGGAAAGAGAATTTCACTCACAAAGAGGCACAGAGTTTCATGCCCTCAAGAAGTTTAGAATCCAAGAGTCAGTGTAAGAGTGTAAAACAACAAGCCCCAATCTGCACAAGCAGGCTAGAAAAGCAGTGAAAGTTGCTGAAGGTGCACCTTAACGTCTCTCAGACTCCAGCACCCACCTTTCGAGCTTACCAGTGCCTGCCACGTGGACTGCCCCCCCCCCCCGGCTGTAGTCACCTGATCAGTTCAGAAGCTGCTATAACTATAAGCCACATCCTACATGTCCAAAGGGCAACACAGAAATGAGTCTGAAGTCTGTAGACCAGAGGACCACAGGCAAATCTGGTTCCCGCAGGTTTTGTCTGGCCAACCTGGTCTTTGGAACCATGTTTCTGAAAAACTGGGCTGATGTCGAAAAGAGTAAGATTTAACATAAAAATCAATATATCTTTTCTTGAACAATAAGAAGAGTGGGCAACAGTGGTTGCTGCCTGCCTGGCAAGAAGGACTGGGCGCCTAGTAGCTGTGCCCCCTCATCACGGTCACCTATAGTCACACGCTGCTGGCCCAGGCACTTACCACCAAGTGGCTTCTCTCTGTCACATGACCAGCCTGGCCCCTTCAGCTGGCCTCCTTTGTTGCGACTGATAAGAACATTCCGTGAAATAACATTAGACCCACAGATCTTATCAGACATACTTAACTTTAAAGATATCTCCAAAATTAAAATTAAGACTTAATAAATGAGCTTTTGTGTGTTGGCAGTCATCCTCAGCAAAAATAGTAGTCTGGACTTAAAAAAGTTAAAGTGACCTCCTCTACTTGATTTCTTTACAGAGAATAACTTAATACTGAAGCTTTAGGAGTTCCTGCCAATGGAAAGCCCACGGAAGACCTCAGAAAAATAAATATAAGACGGGAAGATGAGATTTAATTTATGTGTAACTTTCTAAATGTTTTCTAAAAAGCAAGTTTCATGCAATAAATTCACTATTCTCAGTAATATTACCAAGATGGAATAGATAAACATGAAAAAGGCTAATAAAAATGTCACAGATGCAAAAATTTTGGTGGGCCTACATTTCTTTTAAAATAATTTGTAAATAGATAACTGTGGTCATCTGACTTATGTTACTATTTTCCTGAGTTTGTATTTAAGCTATAAATAGCCTTTAACATATACCTTCTAAATACATAAATATACATATGCATATATTCATATGTATGTACAAATAAATGTGTGACTTTATTATAAATATATGAGCGTATGCTATATAAAAATGTTTACATAGTCATACACTTATTTATAAATATATATACATATATATATAAAAATATATGGTGAACACATAATTCAGCATCTAAAACAGGACACTTGAGAGAGAAAACAGATGCAACTAATAACTATGCCAGAGAAACAGGTATATATTGGTCCAGTATCTGGGGAAATAGGATGAATGGTCATCCTCTATTTATTTATATATATACACATATACATAAATATATATACACACATATATAAATTTTTTTAAAATTTTTATTTATTTATTTGACAGACAGAGAGACAGCGAGAGAGGGAACACAAGCAGGGGGAGTGGGAGAGGGAGAAGCAGGCTTCCCGCTGAGCAGGGAGCCCAACATGGGGCTCGATCCCAGGACCCTAGGATCACGATGTGAGCCGAAGGCAGACGCTTAATGACTGAGCCACCCAGGTGCCCCTATATATATAAATCTGTATATATACATATACATATACAAAATATAAATCTCTATATAAATATAAAATTCCATATTATAGTTATAAGTACATATGTGTATATTTATGTAAAATGTACTTAAAAGTATATAAAATGCTTTTAAGAATTTTATAATTATATGATAAACATACTTTATAATTACACTTTATATAAATGCCATTGGGAAATTCTAGTTAATTCATAGACTTAGGATCTTCTGCTGCTTTTGTCTCCTGCCATACCCCAACCTTCCCTAATAAATACACATATATTTAATGCAAAGGTGGGCACTTAAATAAAATACTTCTGATGATTAAATTACCTCTTCTTCAGCTTTTAGAATGAACTAGCTTTAAAAAAAATAAAATAGGGGTGCTTGGGTGGCACAGTCGGTTAAGCGTCCAACTCTTGGTTCTGGCTCAGGTCCTGATCTCAGGGTTGTGAGATGAGCCCTGAGTCGGGCTCTGTGCTCAGTGAGGGGTCTGTTTGGGTTTCTCTCCCTCTTCGTCTGTCCCTCCACCCTGCGCTCTCTCTCTCTCTCTAAAATAAATAAATCTTTAAAAAGTAAGTCTATGCTCATGGTAAAATATTCCAACAGTACAGAACTGTATAAAGGTGCAAAGCAGAAACCCCCTTCTCCATCCTAGCCTCCCTTCCCCCACACCAATGCGCCCATTAACACGCACAGCTCGCATACTCCCTAGCCACGGATACCTTTTTCCTAACTTCGGAAGATTTATAAATGACATCTGTATAAAAGCTCTAGGAGAAAAATTATTTCCTCTTGAGTTTCTCCTACCCTAGATTCTATCTCCTCTGCTTGGCAATTCCTTAAACTTACTCATCTCAGGTGACTGCCCATCTGGGCAGTGTCCGTCCTCTAGAATTTCTAGATTTGGGCTCCTACCTTTATTATAATATGTGTTATAATATTATGCAGTGTTATGCATTTGTTCATGTTTATATCCTTCCCTACTTGCTCCTTGAGTGCAGGGTCAATCTAACTCATCTTTGTTCTCCTGATACATATAGGGTATATAGCACACTGTTGATGATGTTGACAGTGAGCGAGAGGAACTGCCTCTTCAGACCCTGAGCAGCAAATGGCTTAAATTACACATTGTGCTTAGAAAAGTTCCTGATTTAAAGTTTTAAAAATGAGAACCAGATGAACCCAAATTCTACTTTACAGAGAGCAAAATTAACTCTCTTATTAGAAAAATAAAAATTAATTCCTGTCCATTTTTTCCCTAGTTTCCTTCTAATCTGGCCGTTCTCAAAGTGTTTCATGGACCTGGAGTCTCCCAAGACCCTTTCGTCAGGCTCGTGAGGGCAAAACTGTTTTCAGAGTAACACAAAGATGTCATTTGCCTTTCTTCCCCCACCATGTTAACATGTGCATGAACAGTACAGAAGCAACGATGGGGAAAAGAGCTGATGCTGTAGCAAACATCAAGCCAGTAATACCCAGATGAAAAAGTGAAAACTATTAATTTTATTAAATCTTTTGACTATTGAATATACACCTTTTTACCATTCTGTGTGATAAAATGGGAGGCAGACACAAAACACTTGCAGTGCATACTGAAAAAACCATGACTGCCTTAAGGAAAAGTGCTTGGGCGGTTCTTTGTGCTGTGAGCTGAATTAGCCAACTTTTTTTTCATGGAACACCGTTTTTACATGAAAAAACGACTGATAAATTATGGTTATTCAGATGTGGATGGATATCTGGGCAAACATTTACTTTAAAATGAACTAAGTGTGCCTGTCATTTCTTTTTTTTTTTTTTTAAAGATTTATTTTAGAGAGAGAGAAAGAGAGAGAGTGGAGGGAAGGACAGAGGGAGAGGGAGAGAGAGAATCTCAAGCAGACACCCTAATGAGCGCGATCCCATGACCCTGAGATCATGACCTGAGCTGAAATCAAGAGTCTGGATGCTTAACCAACTGAGCCACCCAGGTGCCCCTCAAGGAAGTAGCCATTTTATTGCCAGTAATAATATCTGTCTTTCAGGAAAATTACAATATTGGAAAACTTGGTATTTAACATAAACTTTGGTACCCACCACCATGAGCTCTATGTTTCTCAATACATAATGATTTTTCTAATGAGGTTAGTGGTAATGTTAACGAATGTGATTTTTGGATACCATGCAATGAGTCTGGAAGACAGCCACAGTTCAGTGAACTAATATTTTCCAAATAACCAATGCATACTGTTACCAAAAAACCATGCACGGGCTAAAAGGTGAAAGAAACATCAGTAGATTTAAATGTGACAAAGTATGGAAAGTTCATTGTAATGGTTTCAAATTCCATATTGCAAGTAATCTTTAAAAAACCACCTACCTGTCAAGTTTTGGTGTATTATCAAAGAATATCCACAATTAACTGAAAAAGCTATTAGAAAACTTCTCCCCTTTCCAACTACCTATTTGTATGAGGTGAGGTTTTCTTTACATACTTCAACTATAACAGTATACTTGCCACTGAATTCAGAAGCTGAAATGAAAATCCAGCTGTCTTTCTATCAAGCTAAATGTTATATAGTTGCCACTTTTCCCATTATATTTTTTGCCTTAGAAAACAGTTATTTTTAAAAATATGTTATTTTATCATGCAATTGGGTTTATTGTAGTCATTTTTCATGAGTTAATTGTTTTTTAAGTTCTCCTTTTAAATTCTGAATATGGCAAATATTGATAGATCTGTAACTCTGATAATCAGCAAAAGCTCTTTGGGTCCTCAACGATTTATAAGAGTGTAAGGGGGTCCTGGGAACAACAAGTTTGAGAAATGCTATTCTAACCTATAAGAAAATGTGATTGTTAAAGATATAATTTAAAAATTATTTTACTCAAAATAAATCAGATATTGGCTTAAAAGAACTAGGGAAACAGTGGATAAAAATGTGGTAAAATACAAAGCAGAAATCCCCGGGAGGAGAGGCCAAGGGATGGAGAAACACAGACACGCCCACCGTCACACAGATACACGTTCTCTAGCTGTCTTTAACTGCCCAAGCTTGAAATGGTTACTAACCGTCCCTGCAGTCTGAGCATGGCTGAAAAGCCAGGGGGACCAACAGTCCCTCCACACTCTCCGTACTCTGGTGAAAATTGTTCCTTGATTTGCAGGACCTCCGCCTCTCTTCTGTTTGAACAATCTAGCACTGCTTGCATTCCCGCCTTCCAAATCTCAAAGGTTAGCTTGGTCACAGTATTCTGTGTGCTCATATGATTCTATCCTTTCATCTATCAAATTAGCTCCCTCCCCATTAGATCCTGGAGACTGCTTTTAGGCACTGGTCTACTCGTTCTCCAACTAAACTTGGAAAAAGGGGAACAATTCTTACCAATGATCTGAGCAACTAACTCCCTGTATTTCCAGCTTAATTAAATCTTCCCTCCCAATCAGTCAAGACAACTTTACTGAAATACACAGAAGTCAAAAAACTTAAAGTGAGAGTTTCCATATAAACTTTAACTCTCACAGTGCAAAAAAAAAAAATCTTGGAAAACCTCTTTATTAATCAACAACATACCTATCATGTAGAACTTTATAGGGCTTGCTAATAAAACTTGGTGTACTTTTATTAGTAAATCTTTAAGAGTCGATGGAGAGCGAAGTAACGCTACCTTGAGTAAGGCCGCTCTCGTGGGCCAGGCTGAGGCCCGTTTTTCTAAACCTTCTGATCAGAGGCAGAGGCCAAGCGCCCTCTTGCAGCGCACTGGCTACTCAATTCCTAACGTACATAACAACAAAACTGAATCAACAGAGCAGCTCTCGCTTCTCTCTACTGCATGTCTTCCTCTCTCAAAAGAAACTTAGAAATAAAACCCAACTAAAAAAAGAACACACTATATTAGGACACTGACCTGGAATCCTGCAAAAGTCAAACGCACAGTCCATTTTGGGGCAGTGTGGGGCCCATGTCGAGTGGAAGCTGCGAGTCCCCGCAGAAAGTGTGCTGACAAAGGACCCGCTTCCAGGATCCCGCTCCCCCAGCCCGCACCCATCTTTGCAGCACGCTTTCTCAGTCACGTCGGGGGACTACGTCAGACCTCCTCACATGACAAGGTGTCAGAAATACACGCATCGGATCTCAAAAACCGATTACAAAACCGAAGCCCTTTAGAGAATATGGCTGTGTCTAGGAAAAGGAAAATGCTCGATTCTCTTCTAAATGCAGTCCAAAAGGGGTAGAGAAGAGCTGCATTTATCAGACTCTAATGCAATTAAACTCTCAGATTCAAGAAGGCATTGTAAGGCAAGGAAAGTTTGCTTTTTCTTTTAAGATTTTATTTATTTATTTGAGAGAGAGAGAGTGAGAGAGAGCATGAGAGGGGAGAGGGTCAGAGGGAGAAGCAGGCTCCCCACTGAACGGGGAGCCTGATGTGGGACTCGATCCCGGGACTCCAGGATCACGACCTGAGCTGAAGGCAGTTGCTTAACCAACTGAGCCACCCAGGCGCCCGGAAAGTTTGCTTTTTCAACTGGAATTAAAGCCGTTCAAAAGGCCGACATCAGAAAGCTGCTAGGGTGTATTTGACAGAGGGAGGTTGGCTTGAACAACCTTACCTGAATGTATTACTTTGAAAAGGTAAACATTTGGTCTCTAGACTTGTAGTTGCGTGCATATTGATTGTAAGAACAAGTATTATCAGATTCATGAGTGATGCAATGGGCTCGGTTAAATATTTCAGGCTGCTTGTTTGGAAAGATGAAAGGGGGAAAAGGTCCTTGGCTTCTCTTTTTCTTTTTCAAACACAACAGTATTTCAGGGTAGCCCATGTCCCTTGGGTTCATCTCAGGATGGAGCTTGCCCACATACCTACTTAAGAAACCCGGCCAACAGGCTTCAAGTGTTTCTCTCATAAGCCCTCCAGGGCTGTGTTCGTTTCTCATCTCAGCCAAGCTCCACTGACACTCAGAGTCCCTGATGTGGAAGGCATTTTTTAATCTGAATGCTGGGGGGACCGAGTTACCAAAATGATCAGGGACAGGGTTCCTGTCCTCGGAAACGTCTCAGTTTGGGGTGAGCTTATCATCAAGAGCTGCTTTCAAAAACCAAATACCGTTTTCTTGCGAACCTAAAGGGCCGACTGATTTAATGGCCCTGTTCCTCTCAGTGGACTGCTTCCTCCTGGAAAGGGCAGAGGGAAGAACTGTCGGATATTCTGGCTACTGAACAAGAATGACCCTCCAGCTAGTCATAAGGATGGGTCATCCTGAAACAGACCGAACACCAACTGCTGCTTGGGCATTATACTATCTAAACCCACCTCCCCATGGCACCTTCCCTCTCTAGCCCCTGCTCCCTGTGCACCCCAGCTTTCTGGGGACTGCCGCACGACAAGGAATCAGAGTTTACACTGGTTCTTTCTGGATGAGCCAGAAACTGGGCAGGGAGGAGTGAGTGCCACAACACACACAATGCAAAGCTCAGCGCTTGGCACACGGTGGGGTTCAGTGAGTGCGGGCTGGAACCAGCTGGAGGACTGACCGTGTCCTGCTCAGCTGGGGGCTTTGGAGAGAACTGAATTGTAGTCCATGCTTCATGCGGTACATGGGACGATCTTTTAAAAAACACAAATGAGATCAAGCCAAGCCCTGCTTAAAACCCTTCAGTGGTTTTCCCCTGAAGTCGGCACAAAATCCAGACCCTTCACTGTGGCCTGTGAGGCCCGGTGTGGTCCACGGGTCCTGTCCACTCTCTCTCGACTTGCCTGCTGCCTTCCATCCCACTCTCTGTGCTCACCACATAGGCCTCCTTTTGCTTACTCCACCTGCCAAGTCTCTTCCAGCCCTGGGGTCTTTAAACACATTGAACCCAGAACTGCCCGTGGCTGGCTCACTCTCATGCTTCGGGCCCGCTCAGACATCGTCCTGGAGGGACCACCCTGTCTGTCTTTGATCCTGCTTTCGCTCGCCCTCACCATGCCTGGTTTTCCTTCGTACACCTATCCGCAACCTGCCATTATCATGTGTCGGCCTACCTGTTCACTGTCCACTCTGCCCAATAGGAGGTAAGCTCCAGGAGGGAAAGGACCTCGTCCACCTTGTTCACTGCTACGTCTAGAGGACGCAGCACACGGTGGGCACTCGGGAAATATCTGCTGAATGACTAGTGAAGTGGCTGTGCACAAAATACACAAATGAGGCTCACCCTGATTAAAAAAGAGCAACCTGCCCCTCTCCCCCGCGTTCCCTGTGCCCTGTACCCTGCTCTGCTTTTTTCTTTTCCACGGTACCCACAGCATTCCAATATACTACACAATTTACTCCTTTCTGCTTACGGTCCATCTGCCTACTAGAACTGAAGTCTCACAAGGGCAGTCATCTTTGATATTCTTCCCTGACGTATCTAAGGCACCCAGAACAGTGCCTGACACATAGTAGGTCCTCAATATTCATTTACTAAATACACAATCCATCCTGTAAATAGATACATGTTTCTAAAGCAGTATTAGATATGGGTAGGCACCATACATATTGCCATTACAATCTGCATCTATCTGTTTGAATTTCCCCAATCAATTTAGAATAAAATTGCTTTTATCTGATGTATTTCCGGATTTCCGGTTGTGAAGGACTTCACATATTAACTCTTTTAATCCCCTTCACCATCCTGTGCGGCAGGCACGTAAAATGGGGATATTACTATATACTCACAGGGTTAAGGGAATGAACAGAGTCTGTGCTGGGTATACAGAAGCTGATATTATTGGGTCCACAATATCGAGTGGAAACTGCGCCCAGACAAGTAAGTGCTTGCTTGCAGGAGAGCTGTAATTGCTGAAGGCGGTGCAGGGCTCAGTCCCCCACACTCTGCTGCCTCACGGGCATGTACACACACAGCAGGAGTGAAGACAGAGCAGGTGACCTGATCTAGCCACACAAAACTGCCCTGCACGGAGTGCAAACAGCAGGAACAGACCCAGGCTGAGATTCAAGAGCTAGAGCCACTGGGGGCAGTCAGCCTGGGTCACATGCCAAGAAGGAACTGAGAGATGCTGCCTGGCATGAAGCAGAATGTGTCAGAATGGTCCCCAGGAAGGGCCACTGAGGATGGGAGTTAAGGCAAGCAGACCCCTTGCCCCGGGCAGCTGTCCCCAGGGCAACGCGAGCATTGCTAGAGACTGAGCTCGGGCACTCTCTAGGTGCCACCTGAACAAATACCACAGTCAGCCACAGTGTCTGCCCCCTGGCCCAGAACTGGCTAAACACCCGACACCAAGCCTTTACAGCCACGTTGCCAACTTAAAATTTTAGTATTAAAAAAAAGTTGATTTTTAAAAGTCTATTACCAATTCGATTCAGTCCAAGCACTCAGAAGACAAAGACCAAGGATTTGCACAGCGAGGATCTGTTAATCTCAAGTGCATGTATCAGGAAAAAGAGTTTTCATTCCCCTCCCCTCCCCACCAGTATTTAGATTTACCCTCTCATCATTGGACTGGGGATGATGCAGTCTTCAGGGGTCAGGAAACTCGCTGGAGCCCTGTCCATCAGGGTACAGCATGACAGCAATGAGTACGAAGCCTCGGGGGAACACTACAGAAAGAGAATCTCCAGGGGAGGGCCAACTTTGGGTGTGAGCTCTCTCCATGACAGATGGCAGAGTCTCCCCACAAACACAGAATGGAGACATGGCCAGTGACGCTCGTTAAAACCCTAAATCCAAGTTCCAGTATCTTCACCAAGGCTTATAAAGTCCTCTGTGACTTAACCCCATTTCCTGGCACTCTAACCTGCATCAGCCTTCTTTCTGTTCCTTGAATATGCCTAGGATCTTCCTATCTCTGGGCCTCTGTACATGTTGCTCCTGCATCCTAGAATGCCCTTCTAGCCCAGGAGGCAGCCACCTCCATCCAACAATCCTCCTGCCCTCAATTAGGTTCATCTGTCATATATTCTCAGCATACTTTTCTTTCATAGTACTCAATACAATTGTAATTACATATTGACAAATGGGAGCCTTTACCACAAGAGTATAAATTCTATAAGGGCTAAGACTGTTCACCAGGATCCCTAGCTCCCAGCACTCTACTTGGCATACAACAGGTGCTAATAAACCTTTATCAAATGAATGCAAAAACAAAAAGCACCCAAACCCGAAGCCTTCTAAAGCCCACCAGGCACTGTTACCAAGCTTTCTGGATCCAGCATTAGGTCAATGCAAACTGTCCTATTTGTCACCTATGGTAAAAGAGGGGAATGCTTTTGTTGAACATAAAGAAGTCAAGAGGCTGTTCTGCCATGGTATAAGGAAACACGCACACACACACACACACACACAACCAAATCAACACTGCCAGCCTAAAGCTGAGCTAACTAGGACAAGTGAGGGCCATCTACTGCCCACAAAGTTGTCACTGCTCAAACAAGTTAAAACATTGAAACACAGCTTCAAAACACTGAAAAATGGCTTACTATTACTGCTTTGGCTCAGAGGAAAGAAAAGAGCAAAATTTAAGCTCTACTGATATGCTTTGCTCTGTTTAAGACAATAGGCCCAGGGGCGCCTGGGTGGCTCAGTCGGTTAAGCGGCTGCCTTCGGCTCAGGTCATGATCCCAGGGATCGAGCCCCGCATCAGGGAGCCTGCTTCTCCCTCTCCCACTCCCCCTACTTGTGTTCCCTCTCTCGCTGTCTTTCTGCCAAATAAATAAATAAAATCTTAAAAAAAGACAACAGGCCCAAAATGGAGTCACTTCTGCTAAGCCCCATGTCACCAAACTGAAACTTAATTTAGTTTGACTCTTCCAGAAATTGAATCTTAAACCAGTCAATCAGGAATCAACTGATCAGCATTAAGTAAGTAATCTGCCCGATGACGCCCTGCTGTCCCATATAAGGAAAGTAACCTTGCAATAACCAATCTGCCTTTTTGCCCAGTAAAACTTCCTTATTCTGCTCCGGTCTGCCTATAAAATCTCTTGCCTTGCATAGCCCTTTGGTGCTCCTTTTTATCTGCTACATTGGATGCTGTCCAATTCACAAATCACTGAATAAAGTCAATAAAATCTTTAAAATGTACTCAGATGAATTTTGTTCTTAAATATTTTAAACTCCAGGGATTTGGACTTTGTCCCTTGAGTGCTTGGACTAAATTGGAAACAAACTTTTAAAATAACTTTTTAAAAAAATACTAAAACTTCAAAGTAATAAACATGTGGGTGTAGTAGAAAAAAAATTGTGCGCACGCACTGGCCCATGACTTCTAACTATGCTACGAAGAAACAAATCACTGTTGTCTCCTGCCGGTGTCGGAGCCCCACCCCCACCCCCCCGCGCCCCATGGGCAGCCTTTCTGAGGGCTACTTTAGTGTGACACCAACATCCCACCACAAACGCATCAATGTCCCCAACAAGACTTGCTCATCAGACAGGAGGAAACTCACGTCATATGCCAGCCACATCCATGTGCCCAGTACTGTTCTACACACTCTGTATACACCATTCCGATTAAGCTCACAGCAACCTGATTTTGCAAATGAGAAAACCGAGACGTGGAGAGGCTATGTAATTTGACTGGGGTCATTTAACTAGTGGGTGGCACAGTTGGGATTCAGACCCAGGCAGTATGACTCAAACACCAGACTCTCCATTTCAGGTTCAGGAGCGCCAAGAAGAACTCAGCTTTTCCACCTCTTTCTTGGTATCAAAGGCTCATATGCTCCCGACCCCAGCCTACTTACCAGTGTGGAAGGGCTTGGCAAATTGTCAGCTGGACCTGAGCAGAGCGGCCATTAGCAGGGGGACAGGTTATGCCCTGTGATGTGCTGTGATCACAGGAAGGGGAGACTGAGAGCCAGTTCATGCTCTGCTTGGCCAGGCGGGTGCACTGATGAGGGCTGCATCCTCCCGCCAGATGGAGGGGGCCGTTTCTTTAAAATGCACAAAGATGCCATATGGGCCACCAGGTGGCCCTGTGGTGAATACTTTAGGGAAATCCAGAATTCTCCATAACACTCTACTTTTGTTTTCCCAAGAAAAATGTAAACTTCAAAATAATATATGGTGCTCACAAATACTAATATTATTATTTTAAAGATTTTATTTTTAAGTAATGTCTACTACATCCAACATGGGGCTCAAACTTACAACCCCGAGATCAAGAGTTGCATAATCTACTGAATGAGCCAGCTAGGTGCCCCAATATTACTAGTTTTTGATCCATTTCTATTTCAAGGTAACACTTATCAAATGCCTACCACTCTCCGGTTACTGAGTGCAACACAGGGGCTACCATAAGACGTGGGGACTGAAAGGGCAAGCGAGTGGAGAGATTAAATAAAGCTCCTGAAGCAGGAGAACTGAGAGACCCCCAAAGCACTGTATTAGTCCATTCATGAAACAGAGCTCTACTAAAGGATCATTCAGGATAAGGCAGGCCACGTCCAGTCTGGGATAGTGGCTGAGAGCCTGAACTTTGGTGTCAGGTGGACCTGGCTTTGTCACGTTCTGGCTGTGACCTTGGGCATGTTTAAGCTCTTTGCACCTCAGCCTCTTCATCTGCAAAATGGAGCTAAAAATAGAATCTACCAGGCTTACCATGAGGATTAAATGATAATACCTATAAGGTGCTTGGTGTAGTATCTGGCACAAAGCTTACTAAAATTATTATTAATATTACTATCACCAATTAATAATTAGTTGTAAATGTCGGTAGGAACAAATATTGCCTTGGCCCCAGGCCCCAAATATAGGAAATGTGAAATTCCTCAATGGCAGGGACAAATGTTCTAGTTCACTGTGTGCCCAGAGGTCCCCCCACTCCTCCCAGTGCTTACTACCCCAGAGGGGCTCAGCAGTTATCATTCTTCCCTAATGCAGATGGCAGTTACATCTGAGCCTTAGCTCCTATGCGGGCATTTAGTTCCAAGTATCGCCTAAATTCTTTTTTTTTTAGTTGCATTGTTTGTTAGTAGTCTTCTTAGCAGGTGGAAAAAAAGGAAAAAATTCAAATAAAAATCATTCAACTTGGGGCGCCTGGGTGGCTCAGTCGGTCGAGTGTCTGCCTTCGGCTCAGGTCATGGTCCTGGGGTCCTGGGATCAAGTCCCGCATCGGGCTCCCTGCTCCCCACCCCCCCACCTCCACGCTCGTGCTCTCTCTCAAATAAATAAAATCTTTAAAAAAAAAAATCATTCAACTTAGGTGTTTGTTAGCAATTCTGGTAAAAGGCTTGGTAGGAAGGAGACCAAAATAATGTTTAAGACATACACTAAATCATCCATAAATTTCCATGATGTGTACTTGTTCTCTTAAGTCAGATCACTCAAATTATGCTATATAAGGCAAAGCTAAGGTACTGTCAGTTTATTGGGTTACATGTTTTAGATAGCAAATTATTTTACCTTCATAAAAAAGCCTCTACTAGGGTGCCTGGGTGGCTCAGTCGGTTAAGGGTCCGACTCTTGATTTAGGCTCACGTCATGATCTCAGGGTCATGAGATAGAGCCTCGCATCAGCTGGGCGTGCAGCCTGCTTAAGATTGTCTCTCTCCTTCTCCCTCTGTCCCACTCCCCCTTCTCTAAAATAAATAAATAAGTGAACAGTAAACAAAATAAAGCCTCCGCTGTGCTCTGCTTCTTCACCTCTCCTGTAGACAGACTCCAGGCAGACCACGTTTGCTCCTTTCCCTGCATATCACGGGACTTTTAGAGGGCAACATCTTGGGACCTCCTCCTTCTTACTTTAGACTAGGAATCTAGTACCATGTCAGTTTGGTTATGGTTTATTTTAAAGAACACTTTGTTTTTTTTTATTTTAGAATTTTTTTAGTTTATGTCTCAGTTTAATGGATTCATTAGATTGCGGTTTGTTCAGAAAAAAAAAAAGTAAAAATCTGGGTTAATTTGGGGTTTAAGATGTTTATGTACTTTTTTGGGATTCCAGTTCAAGCTTCCACTGAAGTCCTTGAGGAAAATTTTTGACAACTGTCCGATGTGGTCAATAGTTCTAAGCCCTCCTTCTCTTGTACCATTGGGCTGTCCTTTTTCTGTCTGTACAGTTTTATCTTTAGACGCAGAGGGTAAAGCAGGGCCTCTGCTTACACACTCCTGGGTTTAAATTCCAGTTCTGCCACTTATTAGCTGTATGAATTTGGACGAGTTAATTAACACCTCCAGACCTGTTTTTTTTTTTTTTAAAGATTTATTTATCTAGCTGGCAGAGAGACTCCTCAAGCAGACCCCCCCAACTGAGCATGGAGCCCGACACAGAGCTCGATGGACCCCAAGATCATGACCTGAGCCAAAATCAAGAGTTGGACGCTTAACTGACTGTGCCACCCAGGCGCCCCCAAACCTGGATATAATAGTGCAACTTAGTTCTTAATAGGATTAGATGAGACAAATAGATAAAATGTAGTATCTCATTCTATTGCTCTTTTCACCCTAATTTTCCATGAAAATTCCAGAAAACAATACCTACAACTCTTTTCTTTAGCCCATCTCATTTTGATAATAGCAACCAAGTTACTGCTTGTCGGTTGAGAGGTTGTTGGAATCAGGGGCCATTTTGTACGTAGGGGTTTCTCAGAAGCTGAATGGAAAGACGGGTGGCCTGGAGAGTCTCAGGCTTCACGGGCTTCCAGGGAGCGTGAGCAAGACTAGTTCTGACAGGCTGGGCAGCTGGGAGTCAGGCTGACCCCAAAAGAAAAGAAGTTAACTAAAAAATACTCATGGAAGGTAAGTGCAAAAACAAATATTTAGCAAAATAAGGGACTGTGGGTAATATAGTAAGAGCTCCTACATTAAGGTCTTGGGAGAATATGTTGACCTAAGGACAGTAATGCAATTGAAAGAACATTTACTTTAAAAGAATAAGTACATGCATCATGATGTTAATATTATGATACATAAAGCCAAATACAAAGTTAGTGACTGTTGTTTTGGGGGGAGGGGGGTCCTACAAGCCCATTAAAGATACCCTGCCGCCCGCACACAACCCTACTGCGAAGAATAAGCAGAGAAGAGGTCAGTGGCTTCTTTGGGTTCACACGTTGCTCCTTCCACTCTGGGTAAAGGCACTGAGCAAGACTGCCCTTGGACCGTCATCTGAGCCCAGATTAGATTATTACTCAGTTTCTTCACACACGGAAATGGCAAAAACGTCCAAGTGGCCAGGCTCATCAGTGTTTGTAGACAGAGTTAGGGAAGGCAAAGCATTTTACAACCTGAGTGCTCTGTTCTCTTCACAGCTTCATTCTGGTCCATCCTCACCTCACTGGGAAGGGGGCCTTGAAGCATAATAAAGAAGTCATGGCCTGAGTGGCAATCAGTAGCAGCAGGGAGGAGAGGACGCAGGCAGAGGGTATTCCACACCAGAAGAGCTGGGGCTGGATGCAGGATACAGGGGAAGGGAGGCCGTGGAGGAAGGAGCTTGGGGCTCCCTCCCAAGCAGGCCTCTGCACGGATGCCCTTCCTAGTGAACACAGCTCCTGGGAAGGTCTGGCTACTGTGTCACTGAGCCTGCCCATGCTGCTCTTCCAGGTGTCATGGGCTTAACAACAGGGTTACGGTCATAGAAGCAAATTCCTTAAGGCAGTTCCTAGCTCCGAGATTAGGCAGTCCCTCTTAAAAAGAGCTTTGCCTTGGCTGCAGCTTTTTCAGGGTTGTTTTGAGGTTCTTTTATTTATTTATTTATTTTCTAAAGATTTTTTTAAAAGATTTTATTTATTTATTTGACAGAGAGAGACAGGGAGAGAGGGAACACAAGCAGAGGGAGTGGGAGAGGGAGAAGCAGGCCTCCCACAGAGCAGGGAGCCCGACGTGGGGCTCGATCCCAGGACCCTGGGACCATGACCTGAGCCGAAGGCAGACGCTTAAGGACTGAGCCACCCAGGCGCCCCTTGAGGTTCTTTTATACATTTGATGACCACAGCCCATCCCCAGTCCAGAGAGCTGTGTCCACAAGATGGTGCTGAGTCCACACCGAGAAATACTCTTGTGTCCTGGGTGGTTGGTAATCCAGTCCCCCAAATCTTTCTCAAAACGGGCAGATGAGTAGGCCTTGCTCCAAAATAAATAGACATCGAGTGTTCTAGGTAACAAAAAGCAAAGAGAGTCTGCTTCTTAGAGGACGCTGCACTCTAACTCATTCTGAATTTGCCACAAATGGCTTGCGGAGAGTCCTCAGATCAGGGGTGGGGAGGGCTCCACCCAGTGCAGGCATTTCCTCCTCAGAGGAGCAGGCCTCACCGGTAGCAAAGAAGGGGCCCTCAGCTGTGACCTCTGCCTCACAACAGCCCTTTGAAGGTTTACTCCGCATGGCCCCCTCCCTGGGCTAAACATCTCAAGCCGCTTCTGCTATTTCACTGCAAAGAGGGTTTTATAGACAAAAGGAGCTTTAGTTTTGGTCCAAGGCTCTCGTTTTGGATGTGAGAAAACTGAGGCATGGAGAAGTCCAATGACTTGCCTAAGAGCTCATGGTTTGACCAAAACTGGTTTCTAAACTTCTGGTTCCACATGCTTCACTATACCATGCTCAAAAGGCAGAGGCTGGGACCTGCTTACTAACAGCATGACCACAGAAAGGACTTGACCTCCCTGAGCCTCAGTCTCCTCATCTATAAAATGGAGTGAGTACTACATACCTCACAGGGTGTGGGAGGATTAAATGAGAGTAACTGAGCACTCGGCAAGTGCAAATAGTAAGCAAATAATAAGTGCTCGATAATTGATTTTATTTAGGATATACAGGTGTTTCTGTTTTTGGCACGGAGTTCTCCTTTCTTCCCTTGTTTTCTTCTTCCTCCTTGGCTTCCAAACTTCCAAGCCTGAATTTTTTTAACTGAAGCTCAAAAATTCACTCATTTATTCTGACTAAATTTAATCACGTTCATTTTGTTCATCATCCCCAGTGTGTTGGGATATTTTTAGAACGTCAATTCTGTCTTATAATAGATCTACCGATTTTTTTTACATGTTACACAGATCTGCGCTCCGGAAACTTATAGGTTAAGTTCAAGATGGCGACGTCTGTGACAAAAAGGCCCGACTGTTTTCTGTGCCCACCTCCAGAGAGTGGCAGAATGTGGTTATTCTTCTCACACACACACCACCACCCGCACAGATCATATTTCAAGATCAGGACTTGGAAAGTATTTTTCAATCTATCAGAATAAAAAAGATAAAGCCTTGGTTTCATTTTTGAGGAGGAAGGAGGCTGAACCTACACGATGAGGAAGTGACCCTGTGAAGAACAGCTCTGGCTGTGTTAATGCAGTAGTATGTTCAGAATCGTGACACTGAGACCTCAGGGTAAGCGAGCTCTTGCGCGGAGATCCAGAAAACTTCTGAGCTGCAGAAAATAAAACTTTTACTTGAAAGAACAAGATGTCAAGCTCTGTGGAATTGAACTGTGGTCCCCGGGCTGGCCTTTGGTTACAGGTGAACCAATGCAAAACCCTGACCAGTTACATTCTCTCGGCTCTCTTCTTTCAGTAAGCACAATAAGACTCTAATTTTCTAACCACTTCTCTCCATTCCCACATCCCCCCCTAACTAGCTCGTGCCATTTGTTTTTTTGAGGCTGAGCATCCTCGTACTCTGCTCCACTGGGAAATCAGACAACCTGCAAGTGTTTCAGGGCCCATATTCACTGACCCAGCAGAACACCACCCTTCCGCATCCTGACACTTCCCAAAGGCCAACCTTCTGAACCCAAACACAGAACAAGGACAAGGACATACAGCCTTACTCCTGTTTAGTCCAGACCACTTACAAATCACTTTCAAACATACCATTTCATTTTCTTTCTCAGAACACCCCTGTCGGCTGTAAGATACTATTTCCATTTCAAAGATGAAGACATTGAGGCTCAGAAAAATTATGCCAAAATCATACCACCACATAACCTGTAATCATGTAATTGGCAAGGTTGGGTTTTCAACCCTGGTCTTGTGACTCTGGGTCACAAACTCCTTCTAGCATACTTAAAAGGAAGACTGTATTTATGTGATTCCAAACGTTAGCAAATAAAAACCACCACCTCATCTTTTGAGTGACATGTTTAGTGGCTGTGTTTGTTTGTTTTTTTAAAGATTTTATTTATTTATTTGACACAGAGAGAGAGAGACAGCGAGAGAGGGAACACAAGCAGGGGGAGTGGGAGAGGGAGAAGCAGGCTTCCCGCTGAGCAAGGAGCCCGATGCAAGGCTCGATCCCAGGACCCTGAGATCATGACCTGAGCTGAAGGCAGCCGCTTAACGACTGAGCCACCCAGGCGCCCCGGCTGTGTTTGTTTTATGCCAAATTCAGTGCCAAATGTGAATATGCCACTCAAAAGACTATTTATCAAGAGCGATTTTGACCAACAGAACCAGTTTCTCCTGACCAGCCTGTACATCATTAACACTGCTGGCCAGGTGATCACCCATGCGTTCCACTGTGTTCTCTGCCATCTTGCATTACCCGATTACAAAGCATTTTGTTTGATTCATTCTGTAAAATGGGAATGAAGTCTGAGATGATTATTGGGTCAGTTAAATGAAGCAATGACTATGGAGACTGTGGCTAGTTAAGTATCAACTAGTGGCCCTACATACAACCACCACGACTATTACAACTTAATTACATTCATTACAACCAAGTAGAGTTCTGTTTTCTTAACAAGTGTCTAATGAGAGTATAAGGTAGCATGGGCCCAATAATTCAGAGAAGCAGAAACACTATTTCATCCCCTTGGCCTTGTTTAATCCTTTATTTCTTCCCTCACTGAGCAATCTCCTGGAGCCGACAGTCTAATGAAGAGACAGACATGCAGACAAACAGCTCCTCTGTGATGATCAAAGTGCTCTAGCAAGTGTGCCCAGGACTCTGGAGGATGCAGCCTTAAACTGAGTTTGGGAAAGGAGAGTCAGGGAGAGAGAAGTGGAACCAGGTCTTGAAAGACAGGAAGCATTTCTTTGGAATCCGAGAGAGAAAACCCTCTATTCCAGGCAGAGGTCTAAGCAAAGGCAAGGCCGTGTGAGATTGAATGACACCTTGAGGGAATGGCAAAGGGGGGGGGGGGATGGGTGGTGCACAGGCTGTGGGGAGGGCCTCATGGAGAGAGAGAGATTAGCGGGGATCTAGTTGTCAAGAGTTTTGAATGTTACCAAGACTTTGGACTTTATCCTCTAGTCCAGAAGTTCTCAACCTTAAACTGCATACTGGAATCATCTATGGGAATTGGATAAAGAACCAACATTAGGCTCCAACCGGAGATTCTGATTTGTTTGGTCTTGGGTGAATACTGGGTATGGCGACTCAAAAAAAAAAAAAAAGATTTCCGGATGATTCTGAGCAGCCTGGACACCGGTGAGTCATTTAAAAGATTTTAAGCGGGAATCATTTGGCAAGTTTGCAGACAGATCATTCTGGGAACCATTTGGTGAGAAGGATGTCTGGAGGGAGTCTAGAAAGAAGGCAAGGAGAAGGTAGGGAATGAACACGGGAGAAAGATTTGAAAGCTATTTGGGTGGAAGAATCAACTCACTGGAAATCAGAGGAGAGAGAGAGAGGGAAGAATGAAGGCTGACACCCCAGTTCCAGTACCTTGATGTGCCACTGGCAGGTAGGGAACTGGATCAAAGAGCTGGTTTATGAGAAGGATAATGAAGTCTGTGCTCCCTGAGGAGCCTGTGGGAAATGCAGGTGGTGCCCTCAATCAACAGGCATCCAAAATAGAAAGGAAACTGGGCTGAAGATTCAGATGTGCACTGCACTGACACACCAGAGGTGGTCGAGAACACGAGCAGGGAAATGGTCCGAGGAAGGCAGAGTGGACGAACAGAAGGAGCTGGGGGAATACCACTACCGAAGGGTAACAGATGATCAGAATCCCCTGGCGGCCCTTATTAAAAACTTTAGTTTTGGGGCACCTGGGTAGCTCAGATGGTTAAGCGTCTGCCTTCGGCTCAGGTCATGATCCCAGGGTCCTGGGATCGAGCCCTGAATCGGGCTCCCTGCTCCACGGGGAGCCTGCTTCTCCCTCTCCCCCTTCCCCACCTGCTTGTGCTCTCTCACTCTCTCTGTCAAATAAATAAATAAAATCTTAAAATAAAACAACAACAGAAAACAACTTTAATTTCTGGATGCCACCCCACACCGACAGAATCAGAATGGTCAGGGGTCAAACCCCAGAAATCGATATTTAACAAGTTCCCAGGCATTTCTGAATCAAGACTAGGACTGGGCACTGTTACCAGCTTCCTAATAATGCTGTAACAAGTTAGCACAAACGTGGTGACTTAACAACAACAGAAATTTATTCTCTTACATTTCTGGAGGCTGGAAGTTTGCGATTAAGGTGTCACTGAAGACTCTGGAGGACAATCTTTCCTTGCTTTTTCCAGCTTCTGGTGGTTCCAGGCAGTCTTTGGTTTGTGGTTTTGTCACTCTAATCTCTGCCTACGTCTTCACATGGCCTTCTCCTCCTTCTGTGCTGCTCCTCTGTGTGTTTCTTATAAGGCCACTTGTCTTTGGATTTAGGGCCCACCCCACAATCTAGGATGAGCTCATCTCAAGATCCTTAACTAACTTACATCTGCAAAGATTCCAAATAAGGTCATATTCACAGCCATAGGGATATGAACGTATCTTTTGGGGCCACCATTCAACCTACCACAGACACCATGGCAACAACTCCTCTGGATAAACAGGAGAGGGAACTGAGATCCAGAGTTCACAGCTAAGTTCCCTGACAGTGGCAGGAAGAGGAGGAAGAAAAGAGGAAGAGAGAGAGCTGTTGTGGGACTAAGATCTATAGCTGCACCTCCAAGTCTTATGCTGCCCAAGGGACCCCAGGCCACTCAGTGTGCAGGACACAGGGCCATCTGAAAGCACCATGCAGACTGGAAAAAATCACCCCAATCATAAATTAACAAAACGCTAGACCACGTTACACCCTCAAAACACAGGTGAAAGCTTTGAAAGGCTGAAAAGGCTTTCCATTAATTCACTTTCTAAACTAAATTAATTCGATAGGCAGTTAGGATTTCATCTCTAAGATACTGTGGCCATTTTGTTCTCAGCACCCTAGTAGCTTCCAGTCCAGACACGTCACTGAAGCGGCACTGGTTGTTGGGACTGGTTATTTCTATCTTTCAGAATGTTTCCTTAGGAGCAGGCAAAACTCTCAGTCACCACCATTAAAGAAGGTTCAGTTATGCCTCCCTTCTCACGCCTACCAGAGTCCCCCAGTCCTTGCTGAGAGCCCATCACTCCCCATTGTCACACTGCTACGCGTTCCAGCACGGCAGTCCTACGTTATAAAGATGTGTGTTGCCTCTCTGACACACGAAGGTTTTCTGGCCTCTTACCACAGGAATCTTCCTTCTTGGCAGCATGGTTTGCATGGCCATAAGGGCCGTGGGGGGTGGGGAGGGTGGAAAGGAACCAGGTGCTATGTTCAGGTTAAAGTCACAGCCAGGGAACACTAGCCTTCAGAATCAGATTCCTAGTGTGGTCAAAACCACCTCATCATATATTCCAACGGTAGAATGTAAAAGGCACATCTCCCAGCCCTTACCCGCTAAGACTGTCCCCAAGTATCTCCTAGCTAGCAAACCCATAGGGACCGGTCTCTCTGCAAGTCTCTCCCTGTGCTTCACCATGCCACCTAGAGCAGTGTTCCCCACGCATTAATGCGCACGAGTCAGCTGGGCATCTCGTGAAGCACACTTTCGGACGCAGTGGGCCACTTACATGTGGTCCATCTTCGTTTACATCAGGTGGAGACAGCTGAGGTACACAGCTGAGTTGAAGGTTTAAGAAAACCAAGTCCCCGGGGCGCCTGGTGGCTCGGTTGGTTAAGCGACTGCCTTCGGCTCAGGTCATGATCCTGGAGTCCTGGGATCGAGTCCCGCATCGGGCTCCCTGCTCGGCGGGGAGCCTGCTTCTCCCTTTGACCCTCCCCCCTCTCATGTGCTTGCTCTCTCTCATTCTCTCTCTCTCAAATAAATAAATAAAATCTTTAAAAAAAAAAAGAAAACCAAGTCCCCTTACCAGCTGGTGAAATGATAATTGTTATGATGGTGAGGATGATGATGCCAATGACAATAAGAGCTAATATTTACTGGGCACTTTCTACATGCGAGGCCCTGTGCTAAAGCGCTTTATAGACATTATAACTCAGCTCCAAGAGAGCTAAGGAAAACAGGAGTGGTAAAAAGAGACTGAGAAAAAAGGCAAGGCATTATAAATTCCAGGACGTGCAAAAGGTCAATCAAGTGTCAACAGAGACAGAGGCCAATTCTCACACTGTCCCCGTCTGGGAATAGTTAGGAAGTGGCTAACTGCTTGGTATTTCAGAAAGCA